GCAGTATCCTTCATGAAATTCAGTGTTGGGAAGCACTCACACTCACAGGACGGAGATAGAAGTGCTGATAAAGCTTGGAAACTAAGCCACGGCGCCAAAGCTGTCAGGCAAAGTCAGTGTCTCTTGCCACTCCCAATCAAATTATCATCCATATATAGAAAAAAAAGAGAAAAACAATAGTCTGAAAATATGATATTAATGGGATTCCAGGCGTGCGGCCAAGCAGCATCATGTGATCCTGATAAGGGTTAGGTTACTGTGTGGTACAAAGTGGGAACTAACAAGGATGATGCTGCAAGAAAAACACTGGATGTGCCTATTTTAGCTGGGTCACTGGTTCTGTGGTGAACTGACGTTAACAAAATTAACATGAAAATATGGTTCTCAAAGCTGCACTAATGAAGACTAATATCTAGCTCTGCTGCAAGGTTTTGGTCATATGTCAGATTTGCTGCTCAGCTCCTGTAGGAAACCATTTTCCAGCACAGGAAGAGCTGGTAAACAAGCTGTTTGCTTCCTGCCAAGCAAAGCGCTGACAGATATAGTTACAGAGTGGCTGCTGAACATACTGCAGTCAAACATTATGGGCGGATTTTGAGACAATGGGCCCCCGGGCACAGATAAACCAAAGGCCCCACCACCTCTCCATAAGAGCAAGGCACACTGTGGTGCTTTTGCCTCTTTTGTTCTCTTTTGCATCTCTTTGTAGTTGTAAAGCATCTTTTTGTAGTTTGTTTCTCTCTGTGGTCGTTCTCTGTGCACTTGTGGTCATTTGTGTCTCGTTGAAGTACAGTTGTTTGTGTCTCATTGTAGTTCTTTTGCATGTCTTTGTGGTCGCTTTGTCTCTTTGGGGTATAATCGTGTCCTTCTTGTTTTGTGTCTCTTTGAGGTCCTTCTGATTCTCTTTGAGGTATAATTGTGTCTTTTTTTTTGGTCATTTTATGACTTTTTGTAGTCGTTTTGTATCTAGTTGCAGTTCCTTTGAATCTCTGTGTTGTCATTTTATGTCTCTTTGAGGTATAATTGTGTCCCTCTGGTTGTTTTGTGTCTCTCTGTAGTTTGGTTGCATCTCATTGTGGTTGTTTTGTGTCTCTTTGTAGTTCCTTTGCAATCCTTCTGTGTTCGTTTTATGTCTATTTGAGGTCATTCTGTTTCTCTTTGAGGTCTCTTTGTGTCTGTTTTGGTCGTTATGTGTCTCTTTGTAGTTGTTTTTATGTATTTGCAGTTCCTTTGCATCTCTTCATGGTCGTTTTGTGTCTTTTAGAGGTCATTCTGTTTCTGTTTGAGGTATATTTGTGTATATTTGTGACTCTTTGTAGTCTTCTTGCATCTATCTGCAGCTTCTTTCCATCTCTTTATGGTTGTTTTGTCTCTTTGAGGTATAATTGTGTCCTTGTGGCCATTTTGTGTCTCTTTGTAGTTCCTTTGCATCTCTTTGTAGTTGTTTTGTCTCTCTTTGAGGTATAACTGTGTCTCTCTGGTTGTTTTGTTTCTTTTTGCAGTTCCTTTGCATCTTTGTTTGGTTGATTTGTGTCTTTTTTTGGTCATTTTGTGACTTTTTGTAGTCATTTTGTATCTAGTTGTAGTTCCTTTGAATCTCTGTATGGTCATTGTATGTCTCCTTGAGGTATAATTGTGTCCTTGTGGTGGTTTTATGTCTCTTTGTAGTTCCTTTGTATCTCTTTGAGGTATTTTTCTGTCCTTCTGGTTATTTTGTGTATCTTTGTTGTTCCTTTGCATTTTCTGTGGTTGTTTTGTGTCTCCTTGAGGTCCTTCTGATTCTCTTTGAGGTATAATTGTGTCTTTTTTTGGTCATTTTGTGAGTTTGTGTATTTGTTTTGTATCTATTTGCAGTTCCTTTGCATCCCTTTATGATCGTTTTATGTATCTTTTAGGTATAATTGTGTCCTTGTGTTTTTTTGTGTCTCTTTATAGTTCCTTTGCATCTCTTCATGATCATTGTGTATCTCTTTGTGGTAAATTTGTGTCTTTTTTGGTAATTTTGTAACTCTTTGTAGTTATTTTGTATCTCTTTGTAGTCATTTTGCAGCTCTTTATGGTTGTTTTATGTCTCTTTAAGGTTTATTTGCATGTCTTTGAGGTGTATTTGTCTTTTTTGGTCATTTTGTGGTTCTTTTAGTTGTTCTGTTTCTCTTTTTGTAGTTCCTTTGTATCTCTTTGTAGTCATTTTGAGTCTCTTCCTGGTTGGTACATGTTAATTTGAGTGACAAAGGCCAGGTTGGCCTCTGATACTTACTCTGATACAGTTGGGCCATTCAGTAATCTATCGGTGTCAAACATATAGCAGCTAAATAGCCATATATTGTCTTCAGGAGTTGCTAGAGACCTAATAGGTGGAGAACAGAAGAAATTTGTACTTGTATTTATTAGGTGTCCAGAAATAAGTTAACATTTACTCTGTTAAATCAGAGTTTGGGTTCATAGTGGGCCAGGTGTAATGTTACACTGGGTTCTGGTGCATTGTATCAAGCTGATGCACTGTTTTCTCTTTAAGAACTGTATAACTGCATAAGCACTGAATGTGAAAGCAAGCGCTGAAACTGATTGCACTGCAGTAGCTTATTCATAATGTGAGATGCAACACAGTATATGTTTGTAGTGGGTTTTTTTTGTTTGTTTGTTTGCTTGCCAGAATGTTATGTTTGTTGTTCTGAAACAATGCATGTGTTGTGGTGCCAGAATTCTAACACCAGAGACACTGAATTAAAGCTTTTTCTGTTCTTTGTCAGATAAATGATCAAACAGTGAGTATTATTAATGGTGGAGGGAGGCTGTATATCTGTCAGCTTGTGATTCAGAGTGCCCCTAGTGGCCAAAAGAAGATTAACAATGTGCCCATAAAGAGTAAATAAATACTATTTGTAGCTATTTAACCTCACTTTTGCCACCAAGCATGTGCCAATGCCAGTGAATCAGTGATCCTGTACAATTTAAGGGCCTGTAACTGCCAATATATAACTTTAAAACACTTAGCGTCATATGTAGTTTTGCTAGTGTTAAATGGCATCACCTGTCTTAAATTCATCAAAAATTCTATGGCTTTCTATAGTTTTCCTCACAAATTTAACCTAAGAGAATGAGATACTAATAAACAAATCATTTGGGGGTAAAGTATTCCCTTAAGACATATGAGAGGATGCGTATCTACATGTACAGAACAGCAAGAGAACAACTGTTGATTATATACTGAGGTTGGAAGGCTTGGAATATAAGGTTGTGCATTACAAGGCTGCAGTTTTTAACAGTTTTGATGCTGTCATTAGTTTAGCCTTGATGCCTGGAGTTACTAGGAAATCTAATAGTAATAATTTGACACTCTGATCTCTTATGTTAATCAGCTTCACAGGGAGAACAAGCAAGACCTAGAAAATTAGCACTATAAGTGAGTTAATTTGTCGGGTATGAGAAGTTAATGTTCTACTTTCCCTCTTTCATTTCCCCAGGTCCTGTAAGCATCTTGTCTGCCAAAAATCGCCCCAGTGCAGATTGTCAGACTGCTGTTGGGGTGGGAAAGAGTGTACACAGGGGAGTTTGTGTGATCACAACTGTTACGATGACTCAGCCTGCAGCAGAGTCCATGCAGCGCCCGCTGAAGTCCCCCACCTCTCGCTGCCTGCCTCACTTCTGTTTGGGCGCAGCACTGTCTGTAAGTACCGGGGGCCTTTGCTGCATAGGCAAATTACTGGAGCAATCACACTATTGATCATGAACAAAGACACACACAAGACGCACGCACGTGCACACCACACACACAAACACAGATATTGATGCAAAGCACTGCAATACAGTTCATTTATGCATGGAGCTCGAATGCAGGATGAATTTCCGAGCATAAACTTTCCTTAAGCCACTGCATACCTGCACATACACACACACTCACCAGTCACACAAGAAAAGAAAATGCATGTCAGCAGCTAGGTGTAATTGACCTGCCAGGGTATCTGTGCTGCAGATGAGAGGGACTGTTTGTCTTTTATAGAACTGAAAGAACAACCTGACAGGCTTTTCTTTAACAGATAAAAACCTTTCCTTTTACACAGCTGCACAGGAAAACAAAACAACAACAGTAGTGCATATTTTTAAGAGGACAACATAAAGATAACATTATATACGTTATTTGATTGATTTGATTCGTCTTGTGACACCGGCACAGACAATGCAATGTTGTCATCACATTTTAGGGTTTTAATCTATGCAAAAAACAAAATGTAGTCACTTTGAATAACTGCCAGATTCAAGACATGACCAGCCATGTTTGTTTATATGCTGTTAGTTTTCCATAAGGGTTCATTGATGGACCAAGAAATGTGAAAGTATATTAATATTACTTGGGTTTGCCTGCCCTACATTGTGTATGGTGTCTGCAACATGTGACATCTTAACCCTCTGTTTGGGTGGGATTTTATCATTGCAGGTCTTTTGAGGTTGTGGCTGTAGTTCTGCTCTCCACCAGAAGGAGAGATGCTGTGTCACGGTTGTTAAATCAGGACAACCCCCCCTCCCCTCTCTCCCTCTCCTGCAGTAAAGGCAGCACAACAAGTATGTTTTTGCCATGTTATTTGCGGTAGTATATGAAACTCCTCACAAAATGTATCCCATATATTTGCAGTATTGCTGCAGGTTCAGGTTCTATGTTTAAAATGGTGACATGCCCTATTTCTTGTTTTGTATGTATTTGCGTTCTTGCTGCACTGTGATTTATCTGCTATCTGTTATCTAGAAACTTACCTCGGATGAACGTTATAGTTATGACAAGATAAACAGAAGTACGGATCCATATCATGTAAGTTTACGACCTCTTCCCTCCTGTCTTTTCCTCTCCCTATCTTTGACTCGAATCCCTCCTACGCTCGTTCCCAGGGACCCTCTCTGTTCAACATCTTGCTGTTGCAGTGTAAGCCTATCAAGCCTGCATTGTCAGAGTTTGGGGAAAGCGCTTGCGTCAGAGCTCACCATCCTGCTATAAAAGCACAGGCTGCTGCAGCAGGCAGGCAGTCGAGGCTTAAACCTGAGCCCTTCACACACCTCCACACACACACACACACGCACACATACACAAAGAGGAGAGGGAGAGCAGCCTGTCCTCCCACCACTCAGCCATGAGTAGCATCGGATATGACCCCTACTACTCCTCCTCGTCATACAGACGCTGGTATGTCGAGGCCCCCCCTCGTGTCGTGGTGACCAGAGGGAGGACCCACTCTGTCTACTCTTCCCACGCTGCCCCGCTGTCCTCCTCCCGTCTGCAGTACTCCTCTCCCGGCCGGGTGCTGCTCTCCTCCTCCTCACCAGCCTCTTCCCTGGAGCTGGAGCTCAGCCAGGCCGCTCAGATCAGCTCTGAGTTCCGTGCTGTACGCACCCAAGAGCGCAGCCAGCTGCAGGACCTCAACGACCGCTTTGCTGGCTTCATTGAGAGGGTGCGTGAGCTGGAGCAGCAGAACCGTGCGTTGGAGGCAGAGCTACTGCTGCTGAGGCAGAGGCACGCTGAGCCGTCCCGCCTGAGGGCACTTTACGAGCAAGAGGCCCGCTCCCTGAGAGCTGCTGTGGATGAGGCCAGGGCAGAACAACAGGCCGTCCTGGGACAGAGAGAGCGACTGGAACAAACCCTGAGTGCCCTGCAGAGTCGATATGAGGAGGAAGTGCTGGCTCGTGAAGAGGCTGAGGGCAGGCTGATGGATGCCCGTCGTGAGGCTGACCAGGCTGCCTTAGCTAAGGCCGAGCTGGAGAAGAGCGTCGAAACCCTGCTGGAGGAGCTGGCCTTCCTCAAGAGGATCCACGAAGGCGAGGTGGTTGAGCTTCAGGCCCAGGTTCAGCTGGGCGTCCAAGTGGCGGTAGAGTCTGAGGCCGCAACCCCCGACCTCTCCGGGGCTCTCAGGGACATCCGGTCCCAGTATGAAAGGCTGGCAGCGAGAAACATGCAAGCAGCAGAGGAGTGGTTCAGAGGGAAGGTAGGCTCCATGACTGAAACCGTGGCCCAGCACAGCGACGCCGTGAGAAGCTCCAAGGATGAAGCGGGAGAGTACCGACGCCAGCTCCAGTCCCGCCTGCTTGAGATCGATGCGTGCAGGGCCCTCAACGACTCCCTGGAGAAGCAGCTGCACGAGATCGAGGACAAGCAGAGAGCTGAGATAGATGCTATGCATGTCAGTAATGGTCACAGATGTACTCTATCACAATGTTATTAATTATTCAGATGCTTTGATTTTTGGGGCTTTTAATCTGTAAAACTATCACTCAGGTGTTTCATTTGTTTTCATCTTATATGTCCTTCTGTCCTGACTTGACTTTTTCTATTCAGGACACCATTGCAGAGCTGGAGAGTGAGCTGAGGGGCACCAAACAGGAAATGGCACGCTACCTGAAAGAGTACCAGGACCTACTGAATGTCAAGATGGCTCTGGACATCGAGATCGCTGCATACAGGTGAGAAATAACAACAGTGAGGATTTTTGAAAATGAAAAGACAGCAAAGAGGTCGAGTTATTAGTGTTGATTTCAGCATGGTTTTATGGGGAAGTTTTAGAGAGATTTAGAGGTCATTCACAAGGTCATCTGAGGTCAAAATATTTCTTAACATTTGCTCACATGGTCGAACAAACCTACTGTATTTCTCATGTTTCTTTTTATGTGGATAGGTCTGCAAACTTATGGCAAAACCAAATGTATAAGCGATTTATGTTGGTTTAGGCTCTCAGGATAGGAAAGGTCAAAAAGGTCTGACCACTTTTATTTTGGTAAACAACTTCCGGGATAAAGCCTTCGTAAGATTTATCAGTACAATGTTCACTTTCCACATTCTGCCCACTAACTGAGTTCCCATCCACTGTAGCACTCATCTCCTGTCTTTACACCAACCTCTACAGGAAGCTGCTGGAAGGGGAGGAGTCTCGCTTCAGCGTGGGAGTGTCCGGGGGTGTGTCCTCTCTGTACAGCCAAAGTTTCTCAGCGCCCTCCTTCGCCCGGCCCATCCTCTCCAGCCTGAGCTCTGGCACCTCCTACCTGATGACATCACGTCTGCTCAGCTCTGTCAGCACCACCGAGGGGATCATCTCCGCCAGCCAGGCCCAGCAAGCAGAGGCCAGCCCACCAGCTGAAGAGGAAGAGGCAGAGGCAGAGGCAGAGGCAGAGGCAGAGGCAGAGGAGGAGGTAAAGGAGGAAGCAGAGGAGGAGGAGAAGGAAGAAGAGGAGGGAGGAGAGGCGGCAGAGGAGACAAAGGAGGAAGAGGAGGAGGAGAAGGAGGAAGAAGAGGGAGGAGAGGAGGAGGGAGATAAAGAGAAAGAAGATGAAGAGGAGGCTAAGGAAGGAGAGGAGGAGGCCAAAGAGGGTGAAGAGGGTTAGTGCATTGTTTTCACATTTCTCAATTAAACATGAATTATTATGATCATGATGAAAAGTAATAATAAAATTCTCATCTGCTGATACAGGTGGTGATGAAGAGCAGCAAACAGAAGAGGTGACAGAAGAGGCCGCCAAAGAGGAGGGAGAGAAAGAGGAAAAAGGAGAAGAAGAGGAGGCTGAGACCAAAGAGGAAGCACAAGAGGAGGTAAAACCAGAAGGAGGCGATGACAAAGAGGAAGAAGCAAAAGAAGAGGAAAAAGAGGAGAAGGAAGAAGCAAAAAAGAGTGAAGAGAAAGAAGATAAAGCCGATGCCAAGAAAGATGACAAAGCCGACGACAAAGCCGACGACAAAGAGGACAAAGCTGCTCCGAAGACAGACGACAAAGCCGATGCCAAAAAGGAGAAAGAGGAGGTCAAAGCAGCCAAAGCCGAGGCTGCCGAAGAAAAGAGCACAAAGGGTAAAAAGTAGGCCAGAAGCAAACTTCAGTGAAGACTGTCCATTAGCTCGATAACCTGTAGAGGCATCTACGCTCTCCTCGCAAATCTGCTTGTTAACATGGTGCTCAATAAATCAGTCCAATAGCCATTTACAGCAACAAATCAAGGTTAACTGCTTGCCAATATCCAGAGTAGTCCATAAAGATCTAGTTGCACACTTACTGAATGAATGTAATATGTGTAATTGCTGAAAGCAGACGCGAGTGTGTGAGTTTTTGGTGGTAAATAAACACCTCTTAAAGCCATGTGTGTCACTGATTTTGAGCTGTATCTTCGTGTACCTGACAAGTACATGAAGATATACTGTATAAGCTTCTGCAAATGCTGTTGTTTAGTGGTTGTTTAGAGATTTGAGCATGTGGTATTCACTAATTTCACATTTCCAGATGATCAGGTGATTAGAAACACTGGCAGTAGCTCATTATATCCTAACAAATTCAGTATGTCTTGTGTTGCCCAAAGGCCCTCTGTCAGACACAATTGAGACAAATGTGGCCCCTAAAACAACTCTCCAACCATTTAAATGCAAAATTCTGATACTTCATACTTCTACCACTATCAGTGTTGGGGAGTAACTAGTTACATGCAACAGAGCTTTGTAATTACATTACATGTAAATTTAACTGTAATCAGTTACAGAGAAAAAATATGTAATTAAATTACAGCTGCTAATCAAAATATTGTTGATTACAAAGGCTACATACATACTGTATATGTATAAGCTTTTTGGTGTAGAATATAACATCCATTCTGTTTCTTTTGGCATAGCCTATTTCCAGAGATTAATTTTAGCTTTATTGCTTAAACATTTGTTAAAAAAGTAATCAAAAAGTAATCAAATTTATTAAGTTACAATACTCTGAAGTAAATAAAAATAATTACATTACTTATTGTATGTTCGACAAGGTAATTAGTAGTCTGTAACCTGGTGCATTTCAACCTTCCCAACACTGACTACTTCTATTTGGGCTACAATCACATAATCACTCACACTACCATACTATATAGTATGCCAGAAAAAGATTTAGTAGTAATAGAAAGCAGGTGAAATGCAGTATGCCAAAAATACCAGGATGTTCTACTATATCCAGTCCAATTTTGCAGTATGCATATGTCACATAGACTAAGCCACAAACAGATTGACAGCTGTCAGAAGTCACAATAACAGATGACAGTGTGTTCAAGTAACTGGTGACCAGTCTAATAGTATAATAGGACTACTAATTGTTTAAGTGAACAAAAATAATTATAAATAGGCCTACTATGAACAACAACAGGACATAACTAGAAAATAAGAATGACAGAGAGCTGCAGATGTAATTTCACTGTTAGAATCTACAACCTGTGCAGTTATAACTTAAAAGTTAAACTACATACAGTACATTGCAAAGTAACAACAACAGAGCTCTCTTGGTAAGTGGCGTTTTTCTTTTATCTCCATGGTAACAGATGAAAGAGCAAGAGGGTAAAACTTCAGGGTGTAATGTTATGAGACAGTTGTACATACTTTTCAAGGTCAGTTGTAGCACCTACTTCAAGTAAAAAGCAAAAGTAAGTGGAACGCACCCCCAGTATTGGAACTCCCATGATGCATTGGTGGATATAAACAGGAAGTATTTAATCATTAATCATTTGCTGCTTTTTTTAGCCTATGGTGGCTTACAATTATCATTATTAATGATTATTATTAATAATTAATAATTTTTATTCAAGGGCACTGGCGGCTTACATTTTGACAAATTGCCGTTAATAAAACATTTGAGAATTAGCTGTTAGCATAGCTTGTTAGCAATGTACCTGGGGATGTGGAGATAAATATCACTGGATTAATTTGACACAGAAGAAAACTTAAATAAACGTGAGGATTTTTAGGTAAGTTCTGGTGTTATAATAAGCGTCTTTATGATTTCAAAGCGAATTAATGCACTCACAATGAACACTGGAAATGTGTGTCTGTGTGTACTGTGTGTTCAGGTTTATGAGTTATGAGAATGACGACTTAGCGTGTATGACGACAACCGGCTGCTGCTGCCGTTGACAGTGTTGGCAAGTGAACCAAACTATAATAACTAGTAAACTTCTCTTTGTTTTGTTTTTTAAAAACTCACCTGTCCCGTCCACACACCTTTCCCTCCACTAATTGATTCATAAGCAAGTAAACGCACTCTGACTCTACTTTGCTACTCTCAAATGACCTGTAGCACATGCTAGCTAACATTAGCTACTGTTAGCTGCCGTTACAACTCCCATCTGTCTACCTGTATGAATTTGTTCTTCTAGCTGGACTTACACAGTTTGGGCTGGCTCTTAAAGGCTTCCTTATTGCATCCAAAATTATACTAAGAAACTAAATGCAAGCACACCTTACTATAAAAGACTGGATTGATTTAATGAGTGTAACAGCCTCATATGAGTTAAAGGGACAGTTCACCCCAAATTAAAAATACATTTTCTCTCATACCTGTGGTGCTATTTATCAGTCTAGCGCAATGGTGTCAAACTCATTCTAGCCACATACAGTCTGATTTGACCACAGGTGGCAAATTTTTCCCTTTTTTTTTGTTTAAAGAGGTACATTTTAAAAATGCTAATCCATCTGTAAAACAGATGACAAACCACCTGTGATGTCTTCAACAGAATAAATGCAATTTCAACAATATCGCTCAGTTTTTCCCACATTCAGTCAGTCGAGTACTCACTGTCATTACATATGCATTTTTCCTTATATTTCCACTCCCGATCCTGACAACACCACACCAAACTTAATGAAAGAAAAGTACTGTTTTCTGGTCAGAGTGGAAAAGCTACTCTGTGTTTAACTTGCTCCTGAAACCTGGCACCTCTTGGCCTTCACAAGTGCATCACTATTAGGTGTGCAAGGTCATCCAGTGGGCAGGATTGGACCCTGTTGTAGGCCGGTTCTGGCGCCAAGGCTATATGTTTGACTACGCTGATCTAGATTATTGCCAAGTGTTGACGATATTGACCATAGAGAAGTCTGCCTTCTCTCCAGTATAATGGAACTAGATGGCACTCTGCTTGCGGAGCTCAAAGCGCCAAAAAAGTACATTTGAAAAACTCAACAGCAGTGTCTCTTTCCAGAAAGCATGACCCAGTTATTTAAGATAATCCACAGACTTTTTTGTGAGCTTTTTCATGTCGCAACTAATTTGTCTCTACCAAAGTACACCCACCAATGGTATCACAGTACAGAGGGAAGCTTACATTGTCTCATCGATTAGAGCAGTGGTTCACTTGGGCCTATACAAAAAATTATGAATGAATATTTAATTGACTGTATCAGTATGTTGTGCCCACCCATTTCCTAATAAAGAGGCAAACTCTAGCTAAAAAAATGTAATTTAATTTTATTTAATTTAAAAAATACCTTCACGGAGGACTTATTTGTCGCCGTTTGCGCATGAGAATTGTAAGTGTTTGACACATGAAAAGCCCTGATTGGCAGCCAGTGTGAGGGATGATAACATTTACTGTAAAAGGAGAAAGCCATGAGTAGGACAAGAGAAATGAAAACACCAGCAAAGATGACCTACCACTAAAAGAAAAGAGAAAAAGTGTCAGTAGACAGTATCAGGAAAGCTACCTGTCTTTTTTTTTTTTTTTTTAATTTTTATTGTCTTATTGGTAAGAGCGATAACATGTAGAAGGTATTATGCACAGATATAAATACAGGTGTGCCTTGAGATTTTGTCCAGGCTTTGGTATCTAAACTGAGACAAAGATTACCAAATGAAGGCCCACACACACACACACACACAGTAGTTAAGGGTGCCACTCATTAGTTACTGTAATTGCATGCTTTTAGTGACACACTAAGAGAAATGGTGATTATAATGATTACTCTGATGTGACAGTGTGTTCTGTTTTATTATTCCATTTACATGTGAAATGTAAAACCGGCACTCATTGGGAGTAATTATATGTTGATAAAAGACGACCCAAAACCTTGTTTTTGCAATTACCTGAAATTACTCATTTACAAAAAGACTAGTAACGGTTTACATTCTGCTCCACATCTGTTATCTCCTGTAATGTGATTAGAAACCATCCACACACACAAACCCACACTGATGCACATTATCCTGTGACACCTGCCATCACCCTGCAGCTGCTCTGTTATTTTACTCCCCTGAGGAGACGTTAAGTGTCGACAGTCTGCAGCAGCCGCTCTGTACATAAGGTATTGTGCATACAGCCCTGGTTAAAAAACTGACTGTATAAATTATTAGACACTGATACTGTGTTATCTCTTTGCACCCAGCCTCTCAGCGATAACATCTGCTATAAGTTTGGCTGTTGACAGAAAATTAAGACAGAGCCACATATTTTAAACCTCGAGGCGAGTTCAGCAGCACAATAATCCAATTTAAAGCTGAAGAAATATGTTTCAGCAATACTTGAACTCATAAGCCTATAGAAATAAATTTTGCCCATCTGTTCCGCATGGTCACTCAAATGTTATCACTCTCTGAAATTAAGTATCCACTAAAAATGTCATGGAATTGATTAATGGCATTAATTTAAAGGAAATACGTGAAATTTTTATATAAGATTGGATAAGTCAGCTCCTTGGTTGATAACTTGTGTTAATTTTTAAGAGCTCCTTTATTATGTATTTATTTCATTTTATTTTTATTTGATAGGGAAAGGGATGATGTAATTTAATGTAGTTCCAATACAGAGTATGGGACTGATGTGCCGCACAGAGAGTTTATAGCTATTTATGATTTTTAACTCTTGTCCCTAGTTGGGCTTTTACATGTCGACCTAAAATGTTGTATAAAATATACAATTTTAAACATCATACAACCACAATACTATAATTTTCTTATATATTTTTTTGTCTTAATATTCATTCTAAATCTTAAAATAGAACTTCATGTTAAGTATGAAATCCAAAATAAGATGTACCGGTCATCTGGGGTCAGAGCAAATGCTTTCATGTATCACATATGATATTTAATTATTTATTTATTTAATATTCCCATTCAATAATCATTAATATCTGTCCTCACATATTGATAGCAGTATTATTTTTCAGTATTTACTAACATAATTTATTTTTTATTATTTATTTTCTTTTTTCTAGCTAAAATAATTAGAATATTAATTTAACATGATCTCACTTTGGGATGTTTATTTTTTTATTTTTTTTTAATTAAAGCCATTAATTCTGTAACTAAACATTTAATCTTTATTTTGTTAATTTCAGGGTTGACAGGGT